AAAAAAAAAAAAAAAAAAAAAAGAAAGAAGGAAAGAAAGAAAGAAATCATTATTCTTATTTTTGGGGTAAGGGTTGCCCTGATTCCAAATTCTATGGTTGAAACCAGAGAGAGCTAAGAAAAGCCTCTAGAGTTAATGCCCTATAAAAGTTCTAGACTAGAAACCCAGTCTGTCTTCACATGGTATTTATCATCATGGATAATCATCAAGCCTTGTCAATATTATCTTGTGTTCTTCTTTTAAGACTTTTGCTTCAATTTTAGTACCGTTTTCACATTTTTGCTCATTAATGAGCCATCAGGTTAGCTCAAACCTCTCATTAATGGATCTGCAGTCATGGTCACACTGTGGATGTGTTGTTGTTCCGTGAATGTTTAAGTGGGCCTCAGTTGGTGTACAACTGACACCTAAAGGAATTCACTTAATATATATGTATTAAACCCTTGCTGTATGTCAAGTTGGGGTCCTCCTTACAGGAAACCTAGTGTGGAGAGGTGTCTCAGTTACTTCTCGCATTGCTGAGACGGCATATCCAACACCCACAAGTTAAAGAGGAAAAGTTTATTTTGGCTCAGAGTGTGAAGTGGATTCAATGCATAGACCTGTGGCTCCAAGGCCGGGAAACAGGAGGAAGGATACCTAGAAGAGAAATAGTCCCCGACATTCAGGAGGCAGCAGCAACTCCGCAGCAGCAGCCAGCGGCAAGCTTGCCTTCTCTCTCTTCCTTCCTATTGCCGCTGTGCTATAAGCCTGTTAATTGGTGCCACCCACACCCAGGGTGGGGCTTCCATTACCCACATCCAGACCTATGCCAGACTCTTTCAACTATTACACACTCTTCATCCCGGCATCACACGCCCTAAATCCAGCCACCTCTGAGAAGGCCCACTTATGAGCACGTGAGGCTTTGTGGGGACGTCTAGATGGAAGCCATGACACCGTGTGATTACCTGCAAAGTGAAGTACAGTACAGTAAGAGAAGTGTTAAGGTGAAGATGGCCTTTTTGATTTTATATTTTTGCAAAAAGTAGTTTTAAAAATTTTTTAAATGTATTTCTCTTATTTTTTTTTTTTATTAGTGGGCTTAATTTTGGCACATTTGTACGTGTGCATGGCCTATTTTGATCATCATCACCTCACCATAGCTCTTTTTGCATTTCCCTTCCCTTCTGGTCTCACGTTTTGTCGTGGTGTGGGGGTCAATGTGTGTAATGTATTTTGCTGCTATCACACCCCCTCTCGTTCCTCCTGCTCCCTCTTGTTCCTTTCCTGTAATGGTCTCCCTTCTACTTTCTTGTCATTTTTTAAACAAAGATCTCACGTATTACAGATAACATGCAATCTTTGTTTTTCTGGGTCTGGCTTATTTTGCTTAACATGATGGTCCCTTGGTCCATCCATTTTCTTACAAATCACAGAATTTTGTTCTTTCTTTCAGTTGAATAATACTCCCTGGTGTAAATACACCAGGAAATGTAGTAAGTTTTAACCTACCAGTACTGAGAAATTCAAAGAGGGTTTCCTATAAGAAGTAGTCACCTGGCTGAGGTTGGAGGATTAGTACAGAAAGCTTGGATGGGAGTAGAAGTTGAAAGGCCACAGAATGGTATCAGAGTAGTGCTGGAGGCAAGAGAAAGCCTGGTACATATGTGGATGGTTGTGAAGCCTCCTGAGTGAGAGGTTAAGCAGGAGGCTAGATGAACAAGTGTGAGCTGGACAAGGAAGTGCCTAAAAGCCACACATTAAGGAATTTCTTTTTTTTTTTAATTTAAAAATAAAAGGAGGAAAACATTAACAGACAGACAACATTTTACAAAATAACAAAAGAACAGTACAGACAATACGGAGTTACAAACAAAGTGGTAGGGAATTAACAATGCTTGTTGTATTACATATTGATATCTTCAAAGTGGTTTATCATGAAAACAGATATAGACATGCAAT